AAGGAAGCTGACGAGAATTCTCCGTACAGCGCCGGAGATGATGTGTTCGGTTCGGTGATGACAGAACCTCTGTACCCTGCCGGAGACGGATTATCGCCGGAGCGGAATGGTAATGAACCGGTTCTGCCTCCGCCGACCGAGATGCAGGCGGAAGAGGGTTTTGCTCTGAGAGAGTGGCGCAGGTGCGTTTGTAACTGTTATTTACTTCTATTTCTTTTTCTTGTTCTATGGATTTATATGTGGACGTTAGTGTAATTTCTCAAATATTTGTGTTTGTAATTGATATATGTGCCTCTCTCCTAGAGAAGCGAAGCAAAACTCGAACAGATGGAACAATGGTCCTACCACATAACTTTATCTTTTTTATTCGCCGCACGGCAGCACCCGTACTATTGAAGTTGTTTGTCAGTAGAGATGTTCTCCCAGGTGCTCCTTCTTCCAATGAATTGATTATATACTTTTGTGGTGATTGATCAGCCTAGACAACCCTAATGAGAAGTTGAATTGGTAACAAGAACAAAGAACTGTAAATTCAAACATCCTTTCAAACATCCAGAATTTGAATTCGAATTCGAATTTTTGCAATCCCTTGGGTTTATCTTTTATTGAATTGGAAAGAGAATTAGTTGAGGTGCGGTTAAATTAGCCGTTGAACCAAAAAAATAAAAAAATTGATCAGAGCAGACATCTGTGTGTGTGTTTTTGTTAAATTGCATTTTTATTATTATTTGCTCGTTTTAATTGGCGCGGATTTATTGGTAGAAATATTTGAAGGTTTATGTAAACCATGTATATATAGTTATAGTTATATATCGATATCTATTTTGAATGTTGTTATGTATTTATCTCTTAGAATTGGTTGTGTTGTTCTGTTTGATGATGATGGTGCAGACATAATGCGATTCGATTGGAGGAGAAGGAGAAGATGGAGAAGGAAATGTTGAGGGAAATAATTGAGGAAGCAGATGAGTATAGAGCTGAGTTCTATAGAAAGTGGAATCTCAGGTGTGAAAACAGCAGAGCCTCTAACAGGGAGAAGGATAAGGTGAGACTTAAGAGGGGAAAAAATGAGTTGCCAATTTAGCAGTTACTTCTATTTTATTTTATTTTTTTGTTCAAGACTTCTATTTTATTTAATTTCCCCTTTTTTTAACTAGCCAATTTTTTTTTCTCAAATGATAGTGTTGTCAGTATACAATCCAATGTGCCTATCTAATATTTATCATTGAAATCTCTTCCCTATTTGATATGCTAATGCAATCACTGATTTAAAAGCTTCTGACCCTCTGTTTTTTGAGGCTTGTACTGGGTACTGTTTATAAATTAGGACAATCAATTTTTTACTACGGTTTCGAGGAAATAGAAAATGGGGAAACTTTCGTGATTTTGTTAGAAAATAATTGTTTTGCAATAACACTGATTTTAATGGCATTTTTTGGTGAGTAATGGTCCCGATGCAACCAAATCTAGAAATGGGAAGATGCTTCTTGCATTTCACATATTTTCTGNAATCAATTTTTTACTACGGTTTCGAGGAAATAGAAAATGGGGAAACTTTCGTGATTTGTTAGAAAATAATTGTTTTGCAATAACACTGATTTTAATGGCATTTTTTGGCGAGTAATGGTCCCGATGCAACCAAATCTAGGAATGGGAAGATGCTTCTTGCATTTCACATATTTTCTAGCAACATTGATATTCACACATGGGTATAAAGAATTTGTTTTTATTTCCTCCTAAATTTCCTTATATGTGCAGAAAGCTAGCATCCGTTATGGGCGACATTAGCGTTCCTATATATATAGTTTTCTTCATTCTGAATCAACTGAGTGGCAGGAACTGGTCTTTTTATATCCAGAAAATCTGTTCGGTGGACCCACATTGAAGCTCTATTTGCTAGTTACTAGCTGTTTTTGCTTGATAGTCTTATGTTAAAACTGTGTTCCAATGGCACACTATATGCTTGTTTAACTTGGACAATGTTGTCAGCTATTTCTGGAAAGCCGAGAGAAGTTCCATGTCGAAGCTAGCAAGAATTACTGGAAGGCAATAGGAGATCTGATTCCCAATGAAGTTCCAACCATAGAGAAAAGGGGGAAGAAGGATAAAGAAAAGAATCCATCCATTGTCGTAATCCAAGGGCCCAAGCCGGGGAAGCCAACAGATCTTTCAAGGATGCGTCAAATACTTGTGAAGCTTAAGCATAACCCACCTCCCCACATGAGGCCTCCGCCACCACCACCAGAATCTGGCAAACCTGCTGAAACTGGTCAATCACCTCCTAGTTCTGGTGCTACTGCTAAGCCAGCTTCTGTTTCCACCTCCTGAGGCTTTAGTGGATGGGTCAAAGTGAGTGGCTACTAGCTGAACGTGGTTTCTTGTAAAAAACAATTTTCATTAGATACTTAGATAAGAGTTTGTACGATATTAAAATTCTAGTGTGGCAGTCAGTACTATTATATAGTTTAGAACTCTGGGTGGCTTTTTTGATGTTAAAAAGGCAGCTTGTGCCTCTTATATTTCGTAGGATCAATGTAAGTTCTATTGCTCTTGTATGTCTTTTCCTCTGCTTCATTGTATAGCATGCTGTTAATTTTGTCCTCATTGTGTTGGCTTTTTTTGAGCTTTCTCTGAACCACAACACCCCCCCCCCAA